GAAAAACAGAAGATTTCTTTGACTTCAGCAATTATTATTCAGTCAATCTTACTACTTCTGTTTCAATGAAGTGGTCTCTTTCACAAAACTGTAGTAAGGGAGCAAGGCACAAACTGATTTTGTCACACTACTTCCTCCACCAAAACTATCAGATCCCATGATTTCCACTATATGAAGTGCAGAGAAAATTGGAATGACGCAGAATTCAGCTCCTTTTGCCCTTCACAAAAATACTGAAAGAGATTCAAAAGTGCAAAGAATTCCCTAAAAAAAAGTTAATTAGATCATCAAATTTTCTCCAGACTTTACACTAGGGATGGTCTAAAGTTAACAAAACTTGTATTGAAAGAAAGACAACAGCAAAAGGGCAACTGTCTTTCATTTTCATTAAGAGGCAAGGTGTTTTTCTAACAAAATGCTACTGTAGAGCAATAGCAGGAGAGCAGAGTTTAAGCAACCCATTTCCAGTCCTACTGCAGATTCCATCAGCTAGAAACACAACTGACATACAGGAACCCCGTTAATGTTTTTCTTTTTGAATATTTTCCTCTCCAAAATATTAACAGTGCTGATAAAGGAGTCTTTAGCAATATGTTCCAATTAAAATACAAAAGTTTTCAGGAAGTACAGGCTTTCCTTATTTCCTGGTGACTAAAACAGGGCATTAAAACAAAAGGTGTCAAACTCTATTTGCTCCTTCATTCCTCCAGTCCTACTTCTTCAGCTGCAGTGATGCATATGGCTTCCCAATATCTAAATATCTCAGGAATTCCCAAATGAGAAAAATTCTCTCTGATTTTCTAGGTTACTATTGTAACTACTTCAGCCACGTTTCACCCTCAGATCAGAATGCAGACAGCCCAACCTCTTGTTGCATCTTTCTCATCCATTCATTTCTGAAATGCAAAACGTTTTCATAGCCATTGTTTAAGTTGCCAACTTCTTCTCACTGAACTTTAAAAAAACCCAAACAAACAATGTCTTAGTCTCGAACTGCAGATTCTCATTTGCTACCCTACTAACAAAATCGTTTTCAAGACAGAAGAACTCCAGGGGACTTCTTTCAGAGGAGCAACAAGATCAACCTCCTTTCCCTTCTCAAGTAGGCTGACAACAACAATCTAACAAGATCAGTGAAACTGAAGACATATTGCATCAAAACAAAGTAAAACTCATAGGTCAAACCTGAGTCCTATCATCAGCATTTGTCCTGGTTTGACCACACCACGACAGCATTCTGGTTTAACTTTGAACAAGGCTTCAAGAAAATAAGTCAGCCAAGAGATGGTTTTCCTAAGCCCTGCCTCTGACGATGCTTTTTTCTTGAGTCTACATGCTGCTATGTTTAGGAATTTTACTCCTAAACTTCTTCCTAGTTTTTTCATCTTCCCAGTTTCAGACTTCTGTAACTAGACACCAAGTGTCAGAATAAGCAGGAAGAGTAGTAAAGCAGAGGGAAAAGCAAAGTAACTTACTCCAGCAAATGTATGAGTAACAATGTTACCTAAAACAGTTCCAAGTAGAAATAAATGATGACACAGAAAGCATGTAGCAGAGGGAAGGAAGGAAAAACACCAGAAGTTCACTTTGTAGCAACCAAAAATGAGAGCTTGTGGCCAAGCACTGAGGCTGCAGTAGTGAAATGAAAGACAAGAACCTCTTCTCTCTTTCTCACTACAGTTGGAAATTTCAGGTTCATCACAGGCCACACAGCTAGCAATACAAAACTACAGTTATTTTACAAAATTTAGGGACCATCAGCCAAAAGACAGAATTATGCTTTTCCTATGCATCTACAATGCAAAGGAGCTACACTATCGCAGTCCCCTTGCTACATTTTTATTGCTGTTATGGCTGGTAGCTTTCACTGGTCATCAGCAGCAAAGTCACCATTCCAAGCACTGTGTGTAGAAAGCACCATCCTGGAAAGAGAAAACTGAGTAAGAGGGGGAAATAAAATACAGAATATAGTTTAGAGACAAATATATAAAAATGAAGATAGTTTTAAGGAAAATTCAGCAAACCAAGAATCAAGACATTAATATATATGGGAAAAAAAAACACAAATAAACAACAACAAACAAGAGAGCAAAGCTAGCACCAGTGAATAGAAGGAGATATGCAAAATGTAAGTTTTACTAGGGATCGCTCAACAGAGGAAATGCAGCACGAGGTATTTATTTGTTAATTTCTCTTTGATAAACACAATTTCTGCTACCTAAGTCTTTTTAAATTGTCATTGTCAGCTCTGAATCAAGGTCCATGATACTGGTTTTGCAGTTAAATCTTACAATAATTATATCATCACATAATTGCTTTATTCCAATAACTTATGTTTTGTCCATGTATCTTAAGACAGTGGTTGCAAAACAAATAGAGCCAAAACCTGCATTCAACTCCAATCCTCAGAGATGGAAGATTTATCAACTCTCTGAAGCACCCAAGCTATATACGATTGGTTATTAGGCAGCCCAAAAATAACTTTGTATGGATTTAGCAACAAGCTATTACCCTCAATATCCACTAAATTTAGCCATACAATGTGCCACAAATATGTATAAACAGTAATATTTCACAATACTGATCCCACAGTGGAAAAGAGCGGAGCACAAATATTGCAGAATTTACTATTGTAAATTTTATACTGCACAGAAACATTTTTCGGGTGTTACTGTTTTTGTACTTTTACTGAAAATAATTAGTTTCATAAATTGCAAAATTATACAAATATTTTAAAGGCAAGTATGCACTTCCTGCCAATAAAAGATAAAAAACCTAATTTTTTTAATCCACATTTTTAAATAATTCTAGTAACAACGCATACAGGAAAGCTTGGCTAAGAGCAATGTTTGTATTTATTCTGTAGAAAGAAGACTAATATGAAGATGGTTACATCTCACACACATGTGAAATTTTATGCAGAAGTTCCTTCCATCACAAAGGTACAAGTACGACAAAGGTGAATACAAACATCACTCTTTACAGTACCGAAGCGTAATGATGTGTAGTGCCTAACAACCTTCCAGTCAGGTTAATTCTCCCCGTTTGCCCCCAGCAAGTACTCCACACTAAGGGATCGGAACGAATTTGGTATACAAAGAGATTTGCTAACATTTGTTCAGCACAAGCCAGAAAACACACCCTTAAAAACAGAAGGAAAAAAAAAAAAAAAAAAGAGACCACCACATTCCAGTTCAGTACTGGAAGTGTAATGCAAGTGTTCTTTTTGAGGGAAGAAACAATAACCTGCAAGTTTTGGGTGTGTTTTTTTAATAGCACGCTGGAAATAGTACCTAATAATCCCAAATAAAGTCTCATCCAAATTGTAGGGGTTTTTGCTCTTGTTTTTGAAATAGAGAACAGGAAGACTATTGCTAGCTGATGTTATCTGCCCAGTTTACATATTGTGTGCTCTCCATTCTCAGGTTCCACTGACTCCAACCTGTAAGAATTATGCAACACACATGTAAAGCTGCAAAATTTACACTATGAGGCACTGATCAGACAACAATAGTGCTCCAACATTCATATAGGAAAAATTAATGGGAAACTTCCAGTTTTCATTTCTTGACAGTGTAAAAAAAAAAAAATGCCCATTTTCTCCAATGCACTCAACACACATTAATGGCCACACAGATAGTATTTTTCATTTTTACATCATCTTCCTTTTGACCCTTCAAAAGCAACCAAAAAGTGGTGAATTGCCCTGTGAGATGGAACAACAGTTATTTCAAACTGTGTAAAAGGATACAAAAACATTAGTAAATTTACCCATGTTTGCCCCTACAAAGCCTAGAAGCAGACATATACTTCCTGCCTTCACAATAACAGTATAAAAAGTCTTTCCTTTTACCTCGTAGAGCATATAAAACCAAATACCTTCTATCCTGACTTCTCCCCAAATAGTCTTCCAGTATCTGCAAACACCTACTTCTAACTCCCCACTTTTCATTATATATATTGTATTGTATCAATATAAACCAGAGTGCTGAGCCAGGTATTTGAAAGGACTGTGAAGTAACCCAGTCACCTGAAATCCAAAGCAAGGACTGTACAAAATAAGGTTTCCCAAAGTCTAACAGGGGAAAAAGCTTCCTCCACGCTGAAAAAAAAAAATAAATAAAAATCCATCCAGATAATAAATATACCAAGTTAAAGTGCTGTTGTTCTGATAACTAACCTATTTTAGTGAGCTGTTTCCATTCCAGAACTGCAACAAGGGCCATGTATCTGTACTTCCTTCATTACCTAACTTAGATCAAGCAGATAAATAGACTGGGGTCTCAGAAAAATAACAGGGTGGTTTTGTTCAAAGCATTATCTGCCCATTATGGGACAACCAGTAGAGAGCTAGAGCCATTAAAGACACAAGAAAACAGAAACAAAAGGAAGATATGTATCTTTAAATACATCAGCTTTGCAGGACTGTGTTGTACTTGCGAGAGCTAATAGCTTAAGTCTTAAACGTGGGCCCATACTTGCAGATATGTGCAGTTTTACTGCTGTTTCATTTGTTTTGTCAGTGAGAGGCACAGGGGGTGTGTGTGAACATATATCAGTCTTTGTATGAGACCACAGAATAATTCAAGTTGGAAGGGACCTCATAAAGCCTTTATTCGAACCTCGCACTCAAAGCAGGGTCAGCTATGGGATCACACCAGGTTTTCCAGGGTTTTATCCAGCCCAGTCTTGAAAACTTCCAATGTTGGACACTCCAGAAACTCTTTGGACAACCTGATCCACTACTTGACTGTCCCATGGGGAACAAGATTCTCCTTGTACCTAGCCTGAATCTCTTGTTTCAACTTGTACCTACTGTCTCTTGTCCTCCAACCACACCCTACTGTGGAGAGCTCAGCTAAGTCTTCTTGATGACATCCCTGTACGTATTGGAAGGCTGAAAGCGGGCCTCCTGAAGCCTTCTGCAAGCTAAACAAGCCTAGTTTCCTTGATGTCTCTTCACAGGTCGTATGCTTCACAGGCCCCCGATCATTCCATATATATTTAATAATTTTCTATTATCAGTGAATCCCATCTCATTTACTATCTGCTGACAGATGATTACACTGATTTTGATTAGAGCTGCATTTCATAGTTTGCTTAAGTGAATTTAGATATAACAAGCAGTACAAACTCACTATGGAAGATAACCTCCCCTGCAACAATATACTGGTTTTCACTTCATAAAGAAGCAATTGCAGTTACCTCCACAATAAAGCAAAAATAAACACGCTCATTGACAGCCTGTCTTTGCTGATCAGTTTGATCAGGCTTTCCTCTATTCAGTAACCATACATACCAAGTGACACCAGTGACCCAAACACTGTCTTCAAAAAAATTCCTCATTTAAAAGTACAAGGGTTTTAAGCAATAAATAGTCAAGGAACACAATGCCCTCTCCAAAGTTTCCAGAATTCAAACAGAACACCAGATTCCATAAGAGGAATTTCAGCAACTGCTACACGGATGAGAATTTAAGACCTGCAGACGTGCTTCAGAAAGCAAAAACACAGAGCAGAACTTCACTTTATTTTTTTTTTCCCATCCTCTAGATGACTTTCTTGATTAACACATTAACTGATCACGAACACTGGATCTTTAAGTGACAGCAGGCTTTCAGAAAAATGGAGAAAGAATTAAAACCCTTTCAAAAGCTATTTTTTAGTAAGTGTTCTCAATTTGTTGCTTGTAGAAAGACTGAGCTAAGCAATACTACTGCTCTTCAATTTTGGTTTTGTTAAAAAATATAGAGATTTCATGTAACTTCAGCAACTTTATTTTCTTTGAAGTATATTCTATTTCTGCATGCAGATGAGGAGAATGCTTACAGCTTATATATAGAAAGAATTTTAAAAACATCCACCACACCCTTATGTAACAGAAAGCTAAGGGGGGGGAAAAAAAAAGCCACACAGACTATTATTTCAGCCCATATCACCCTAATAGTAACATGACAGAAGGATTTCTCTAATAAACTATTTGGCTATGTGCATAAGTATTCTTGCATGTGAGAGTCCCGTTTTCAGTGTTGCTGTAACTGCAAAATTTTAATATTAACTTTCTGCTCCTGTATATGGCATCATGGAAGTTTACATGCATATAAACTTGATTTATTCTAGCTGGTGGTCCAGTTGATTAATCAGTTCCTAGAAAGCTCGTTATAATTCTAGTCTGCCTGAAAATACCAAGCAACTCAGCTGCAGAGCTTGAGACATATCTGACAAGTCCAAACCTAGACAAGAACTCCACAACAGACATGCAACCCTCCCCTGTGAAAAGGCTGGGCAGATCTCATACAAGCTATACACTGGATATTCAGTAATTTACTTTTTTTTTAATACAATTAAGCTGAACCTATTTTTACATATTAACTTTTTTTATCCAGTCACATTAACCAATTATCTGTCGTCACAGGAGATGCTATAAAAAGTTCTATTTAAATTATTTTATTTTTCTAGCACTATTCAGACATTTTCATGATCTTGGCATTCAGTTACAGAATCAGTATGTTGAAAACCCACTCTACAGCAACAGATAAGAACAAGGGACTGTTCTGTAAACCATATTTTCCTTTAGAGACCGTTCACTATAACACTTTTGCTATAATTAAAATCAAAGCTCTACAGATAAAAAAGTTTAACCCAACTTTTTATATAGAGCGTATAACTACTGCAGTAAACATGTACATAATAGACAGACTTTTATATTACAAGCTGGATTTAGCAGGATCAGATATTTACATGAATGTGCTTAGTTCTCCAGGAATGCAACAGAAAAGCTGGTTCACGCTTCTACACTTCCTAGCCCTAATTAATCAGGGAGAAGCTAAGAAAAACTTCTGGGTAGAAGTATCAACTGCCTGTGTCACCTACTTTAACAAAACCAGGGATTTTTTTCAAATTGAAGTAGTATGGACACCATACATCATGAAATTACCCCACTTGCATTAATAAAATTTTGACTAACAATTTATTTCAAAAGAACAACTCCTTTCACAATACACATGCCATATAGCGTGGCCCACGTGCCCACACATTTCCATTTCATAGTCTTGACTCTTACTCATGATATGACTGGGTGGTATACTTCATTCCTCCAACTGTTTGATACAAATACAATTGTACTTACCTATTCCATGAACTTTGATTAAGGATGTTTTCTTTTTTTAAGAATCAGTTTTGTGAACCTATGAAGTGTGATAACTGATTACAAAACAAATTCACTTGCAGGCCTAAACTAAAACAAAAGAAGTCTTCAGTCACAGAAGGCTGCCACATTAACACACCAATCATCTCACATGTGACACTGCATTCCACGCTAGTCTGGAAATGCTCTTCGGGTACTACTGCTGCATAAGCAACTAAAAGCAAACAAATGAAAACCCATAGAAAAATGTAATTTGATTTCTTAAGACAGAATATTTTCCTAAGAGATAATAGTTTTAACAGACTTATTATGTGGAAATTCATAAAATTCACATGTGAAACAGTCAATTAATAGGTTCAGTCAGTTTTATAATTAGACATCAAAGCATACAATATACACAAAAAAATTTTGCTCTTAGAAATACTGCACAATGTCTTCCATACCATTTTTGTAAATAGTCCAGTGCCTCCAAACGAGCACCAATCTCAAATGTGATTCCAGGACGATTTGGAGGCTTTTTACTCATCTTGATATTTTCTTTTTTTCACTACCTTTGGAGGAAAAAAAAAAAAAAAAGTCATATAAAGTCATATAAAACACATGATGTTGTCTAAAACATGTCACTTGACAGCAAATATATTCCAGAGGGTGGAAAGAGAGACAAAATTTCTATCCTGGCTTTCCACTAACTGCTTAGTTTTCACAAGTATAGTCAAGGCCCAAAGAAGGCATTAAACAAATGCACATATTTTTATTCAGGTTTCTTTCCCTTAAAAAAAGTCATCAACTTAAAGTCAAAAAATAAAAAAAAAATCTGGTGCTTATCTCTGGAGCTGTACTACAATGTTATTTCTTGACATCCCTTTGAAGCATAATTTTAACCATTACCTAGAGTCTGTGTGCTCTCTCCTCTGCAGTGGAAAAGGTCAAACCCAAGAAAAACGTACCTTACTGAGAATAGAAATTTAAAGGCAAACATGGTCTAAAGGACCAGTAAGATGCAATCAGCAAAACCAAAACCAAACAGACATAAAAGCCGCCTTCAGCCTTGCTGCGCGCTCTGGAGTCTCATTCATTGCTCTAAGTTTCGTTGACAAGTACCTTTTAATCGGTTTTGGTAATAATTCAGTCACTATCAAAAAAATAAATCACTCCTCTGTCCGACTACTGCCGCTATTACCCTGACTTTCCGGTGTACCGCCTCT